CCATTTCATATTCACAGCCAAGTCAGTCGCTGCAATTCCACATTCCTATGACGGCGGCTCGTCCATTCACAGTACCGTTCAACCACTTTTGAATTTCAAAAAAAGTGGTAGTTATTTTATTGACCCCGAAGCGATGATCGGCCGAGTCAACCACCAACCAAGATGAGAACTCGCCACCTTCCGACTGCGAGGGACTCGGCCGGACACACACACAGTGACACCCAGACCTCGATTAAAGACCTTCCCAAGTCATCCTTGTTAAGGGGATATTTGACCATGATTCACACTTAAAATATAGCACAATAATTTCAGGTGACATTCGCACAAAGGTTAAAAATATTCGTTGTACAAATCGACTCCTGTACGTATGTATGTTGAACTTCTTTCGCACCGTACGTAGCCAACCGCGCTACTCGGAGGTGCCGGTTGCCTGCTCGTGTTTTTTAATCTGTGCCATTTGCGCGCGAGATAGTTTGACGTGACAGCACACCACGCTCGGTGGGCCACCACGACTCCTGTGCGCTCGTGTCGAGAGGGCAGCGTGACAGCCGACTTCTCTTGTGCAATGTGCCCCCGGGCTCAGCGCAATAACGGTAATGTATCTCTACAGGTTATACTTGAATAACTATTGGGGTTGTTTATTCATATGGAAACACCATATTAGTTTCATGTGTTTTGTTCTGACGGCACAAAAAAATCCACATTCTGTCCGATCGTAATTGATATAACGCTAGTTTCCCAGCGGATCGCATTTCTACTCAAATGACACTGCATGCCAACACTGCAATCGTTGCTCACGTTCTGGTATTGATCCGCACAGAGATCTCACTCGATGGGCACGAATAATCACGGCCAATGAATGGAACTTAGCCAAGAGGACGTCAGCAATTGAGAGATGGAGCGATGAAAACAGTTTGTGTGCGGGTTCTAAATGGATTCTTACACAGCAGGAACAAGAGAGGTGGTGGTGGCTTGGGTCGGCTTTCATCCAGCAGTGGACTGACCATGGCTAATGAGGATAAACGTTACACCCTCCCTGTGATCTTGTAACATGTCAACATGTGTGATCTTGTAACATGTCAACATGTGTGCGATAATAAGATTGTTTATCTGGCGACTCTGTGACAGGCAGTTGGGTAATATCGGGGTCACAGCATTGCTCGTCAGGTGTGCAATGAGGGGGCTTCCGGGTCGTTGCCAAGCCTCGCGAGGCAGGCGCGCCGTGCGCTGGGGAGTCCGCATGCCGGGACATTGCCAGGCCAAGCGTCTTGGAGAAAGGCGCCCTCTGACAGAAAGGCTCTCATTGGGTCGGCAGCTCCAGTGAACCCCGTGGTGGAGTTGGGAGATTTCGAGTAAAGGGGGGGAGATTTATTTACCCCAGCCAGTGGGGAGGGGGGTGAGGATTTTGTCTACCTCGGAGATTAACATTCCACAGCAGTCTTTGATAAGGGAGATTTTCTCACCTGACAGCTAAGCGCGGTATTTGAATCCTAGTCAAGTCAAAAAAGTCTGTGTAGGGCCATGCTACTCAACTGTAGGGCCATGCTAATCAACAGCGGCAGACATTCCACATCCCTATGCTGGGGGCGAGTTCCCCCAGAGGACCAGTGCGGACTACTCACAACATCGTACTCGCGTGACTTGATTTACTAGACACACGATTGGTTGAGCCAAGCCTCCAACGGGAATTGAATTCGCACTCTTCCGATCGAGAGTCTCGTGTCGTGTCACTAAATGTCGCTAATTGTCATTCATGGAAATGCGAGCTTATATACAATATACACAAAGACAGACACACACACGCGCGCGCGCGTGCAGTGAACCGACCATAATAATAAAGAACGAACCCGTGAGCGTAATGCATCAGAATCTGACGTTGGGTTTATTACTCTTTGCAAGAAATGATTGTCTAATAAATAAAAGTTAAAAGAAAGCGATGCAAGGGCAAGTTGATTGATTTTCCACCAGGTGGCATCACATCCGTTCATTCAAAACACGACTGAGCAGCACATTGTCGTGTGGTGGTGGTGGTTGTTTCTCGACTGGGCTTCCCCGCTCTCACTCCGCGGAGAGAGCTGCTTGTCAACTCCCGGAGACGCGCGCGTCGTCTGTGTGTCTGTGTGTGTGTCTGTATGTAAATCTGTGTGTCTGTGTGTGTATGTCTGTGTGTGTCTGTGTGTGTCTGTCTGTGTGTGTCTGTGTGTCTGTGTCTGCGTGTGTGTCTGCGTGTGTGTCTGCGTGTGTGTCTGCGTGTGTGTGTCTGTGTGTGTGTCTGCGTGTGTGTCTGCGTGTGTGTGTCTGCGTGTGTGTCTGTGTGTCTGTCCGTGTGTGTGTCTGTATGTGTGTGTCTGTGTGTGCGTGTCTGTGTGTGTGTCTGTCTGTGTGTGTCTGTCTGTGTGTCTGTGTATGTGTGTCTGTCTATGTGTCTGTGTGTCTGTGTGTGTGTGGCTCGTTACTCAATGAAACAGAGGCACTGAGAAAGGGATGGGGGAGGGTGGGTGGAACAACCTGTTGATTAGCTTTAAGACGGTAGCAATAATGTACAGCAAACAACCCTCGTGGTCCTTTACATCGTCAACGCGACCTCGAGTCGTGCCAACGTCCAGGGGGACTTGGGCTACACTGCAACAACTGTCCATCACGCGTCATCCCTCTTGCACGCTCAAATCCACTGCCCTTCGGTACAGCCCAACGAAGCATCTCTGGAGCTTCCACGCAATTTAAGACTCCACAAAGACCGCACCAATAATCCATTTGGCGCAATCTACTCTTACAGTATTTGGAAAGCATTTTTTTTAGGAAAGGACGGGGAGAGTTTATATACTTGAATGCTACAGTAACACTAACACTCAGTAAATATACACTAAATCAACACAACTGACAAATCAAAATGTTGTAACGATTTAAGTCCCGTTACTTGCTAATTTTCAGACGTAACCTTTCGTAGATTTCGCGGAGATGATTCGGAAAAATTACGATTTTTTTTGTTAAAAGAAACGCTGAAATTTGTCAAACAACACGCACTTCGTAACAATCTTAACATTGCATCACCATGTATTGTTTAAGCAGGAACACTATGTAACAAAGTATACACATTACTGTAAGGCACAGTGCAACACTGTTTCAGGCGTGCCATACAATGTCCGTTTTGAGTGTGTCGATTAAACACCATGCAATGTTTACGCGTCTCCTTACGTCACTACAAGTAATCATCAAGTGGATCGTATAGGGACACTTCTTTATTTCAATCCTAATTACGGTAATTATTTTTCTTCCACTCGATGTAATGTTTCATGTGATTGTCAATGCAACTCGGAATCTATTGCTCCAGAACGGTAGAGATCTCACTCCAGTCCGGTAGACATGTTACTCCAGTCCGGTAGAGATCTCACTCCAATCCGGAGAGATCTCACTCCAGTCCGGATAGATCTCACTCCAGTCTGGTAGAGATCTCACTCCAGTCCGGTAGAGATCTCACTCCAGTCCGGTAGAGAGCTCACTCCAGTCCGGTAGAGATCTCACCCCAGTCCGGTAGAGATCTCACTCCAGTCCGGTAGAGATCTCACTCCAGTCCGGTAGAGATCTCACTCCAGTCTGGTAGAGATCTCACCCCAGTCTGGTAGAGATCTCACTCCAGTCTGGTAGAGATCTCACTCCAGTCCGGTAGAGATCTCACTCCAGTCTGGTAGAGATCTCACCCCAGTCCGGTAGAGATCTCACTCCAGTCCGGTAGAGATCTCACCCCAGTCTGGTAGAGATCTCACTCCAGTCCGGTAGAGATCTCACTCCAGTCCGGTAGAGATCTCACTCCAGTCCGGTAGAGAGCTCACTCCAGTCCGGTAGAGATCTCACCCCAGTCCGGTAGAGATCTCACTCCAGTCCGGTAGAGATCTCACCCCAGTCTGGTAGAGATCTCACCCCAGTCTGGTAGAGATCTCACTCCAGTCCGGTAGAGATCTCACTCCAGTCCGGTAGAGATCTCACTCCAGTCCGGTAAAGATCTCACCCCAGTCTGGTAGAGATCTCACTCCAGTCCGGTAGAGATCTCACTCCAGTCCGGTAGAGATCTCACTCCAGTCCGGTAGAGATCTCACTCCAGTCCGGTAGAGATCTCACTCCAGTCTGGTAGAGATCTCACTCCAGTCCGGTAGAGATCTCACTCCAGTCCGGTAGAGATCTCACTCCAGTCCAGTAGAGATCTCACTCCAGTCCGGTAGAGATCTCACTCCAGTCCGGTAGAGATCTCACTCCAGTCCGGTAGAGATCTCACTCCAGTCCGGTAGAGATCTCACCCCAGTCCGGTAGAGATCTCACTCCAGTCCGGTAGAGATCTCAATCCAGTCCGGTAGAGATCTCACTCCAGTCCGGTAGAGATCTCACTCCAGTCCGGTAGAGATCTCACTCCAGTCCGGTAGAGATCTCACTCCAGTCTGGTAGAGATCTCACTCCAGTCCAGTAGAGATCTCAATCCAATCCGGTAGATATATCACCCCAGTCCGGTAGAGATCTCACTCCAGTCCGGTAGAGATGCTACTCCAGTCCGGTAGAGATCTCACTCCAGTCCGGTAGAGATCTCACTCCAGTCCGGTAGAGATGCTACTCCAGTCCGGTAGAGATCTCACTCCAGTCTGGTAGAGATCTCAGTCCAGTCCAGTAGAGATCTCAATCCAGTCCGGTAGAGATCTCACTCCAGTCCGGTAGAGATCTCACTCCAGTCCGGTAGAGATCTCACTCCAGTCCGGTAGAGATGCTACTCCAGTCCGGTAGAGATCTCACTCCAGTCCGGTAGAGATCTCACTCCAGTCCGGTAGAGATCTCACTCCAGTCTGGTAGAGATGCCACTCCAGTCCGGTAGAGATCTCACTCCAGTCTGGATAGATCTCACTCCAGTCTGGTATAGATCTAACTCCAGTCTGGTAGAGATGTCACTCCAGTCCGGTAGAGATCTCACTCCAGTCCGGTAGAGATGCTACTCCAGTCCGGTAGAGATCTCACTCCAGTCCAGTAGAAATCTCACTCCAGTCCGGTAGATATATCACCCCAGTCTGGTAGAGATCTAACTCCAGTCCGGGATAGATGCCACCCCAGTCCGGTAGAGCTGTCACTCCAGTCCGGTAGAGATGTTACTCCAACACGGGCGGCACTTCGCTCACAACGGTGCCGCCATCGTCGCAGGTCCATTGGGTTGAGCATCGAGGAAAGCGTCGGTAAAATAAATTAAAACACGGGGTGCGGTGATCGGCAAAAAAGTTCCAAGCAACGCTCTGGAGGTGTAAGCGTTTTCGACTGCTTTCGGTCTGCGGAAAATGGAAGAAATCAACAAAGTGCAACGCTCCAAATCCAACGGCCCACGTGCTGCACAGCTAACACCAAACAGTCGAGCAAAAACCATCGTCGTCCAGGTTGTCCGCTCCGTTGCCGCAAGCTTGCGCGCTCCGGCACGCCGCGCCGGCGCCTCCGGCTGCCGCCGCCGCACAGAGGGGCGCGCGGCGGAGGGACCGACCGCCGCGGCGTTCGTGTCAAGTCCGGAGCCGTGGGTCTCGCCGGGGTTGGGCGGTTTCGAGGAAGGCCGGGGGTCGCCGAGGGACGGAGCGTCCCTGGCGCGCAGTCGTCCACGCGGCCCGGCCGGGGTGGTGGGCGCCCGCGTGGGCCGCCGGGCGGCGGCCTTAGAGGTACTCGAGCTCCAGTGCGTGGTGCAGGGCCATCAGGTCCGAGTGGCCCGAGATCCTCCAGAAGGGCATGTTGTGCTGCACGGCAGGGGCACGGCAGAGGCATGGCAGGGGCACGGCAGGGGCACGGCAAGGGCACGGCAGGGGCACGGCCGGGGCACGGCGTTAGTGAGTCGTCTCGACGGCCACCCACCGAGCGCCAATGTCTCGCGACGCACGGCGACGCGGGCTGTCGTCACAACGTATCGAACAATAATAGAATACACTACGCAGCACCACAACAAATACAGAACACATTGACAGACTATGCCATGCAATACATTAAATATGGTAATACATTCATTATAATCTATTACAATATAACAATACATTTACAATGAATTATACCACTGTAGAATGAAATATATTAAATATATACATTGCAAATACTGTAATATAGTTTTACAATGCATAACATTATCATACGACAGCACGAATGAGTATAACACCTACATTTATATTGCATTATGCAATACCGTAATATGATAAATATGATAAATCACAATGGAAAACATGAACAATCCGCCCGCTGTAGATTGGCACGTCGTGTTTAAATTCAGTCTTTCCACTCGCTGCGTCTGTCCATGCGCATGTACTCATAGCGCATGCAGAAGGGCACAGAGGGAGCCACACATATCAGATAATTTTACCACACACATACCTCGTTCAAAATTTCACATTAAATTGATAAAATACGTAAACAAAACATAAAGACAGTCCAGTCATGGAAATTTAGGAATAAGACAGCATGTGCTTAAAAACTATTTTGATGAGCGTCCATTTTCCCAAAAGCATGGAATTTTACTTGGCCCATCATTCCTCTGTGGTCAATAAGTACAGTACTACTTTGTCGGGAAGGCAACAGTGGCTGCCCTCGGGATAGACTCGCACCCACCACAGATGCAGGGCTGTTGAGAGGCGATGAGCACTGCCTCGATGCTCAGTTGAGCAGGAAACCACTTTGACTTTGGAATAAAGCAACGAGGGGACAAATCGTCGGCGTGCGGCGGCGAGCGGACAGCCATGGGGATGCTCGACGCCGCGCCGGCAAAGGAAGGGGGGGAGCACACCTGCCAAGTGACCTCCGCCTTTGTTTTTTCTTCCAAAGAGAGGGCACTTTATCTGTAGCCATTAACATCGTCACCCTGGAATGTTTTTTTTAATTGTCCACTTGGTCAGAAGAAATCCCTCTGCTGTAAACACGCGGCGAGGGCCGGCGCGGTGACCCCGCCTTGACGCCCCCGCGCCGACCCACAGCCAAACTCCCTCCGGCTTGGCACCCTCAACGCTTTCCCTTTCCAAGTCAAGTTCTGCCATCGCCGCGGAGGGAGATCCTCACGGCGACGCGTGCATCTGCTCCCTTCGGTACGCGCTGATGCGGCGCGGAGCCCGGAGGGAAGAAACCCACGCGGGGTGGTGGGCGAGGGTGGTGGGCGGTGAGCGAGGGTGGTGAGAGAGTGAGTGGCGGGCAGTGTCACCAGGGCGTGGATAAGAAAACCACGTCGCTCTCGAGCGCGGGGGGACGCTGCCGTCGGCACTGTGGTGATCACGCTGGACTTGCAATCCAGGGCTCGGCAGTTCGGTCCCATCCCTCAGCTCAGCGGGTAAAACGATTGAGCAGGTTTATTAAAATCCTCCCCGCCTCTGTCTGCCCCGTATTAATGGGTACATCAGTTAGGGGGGGCGTTGGGCACTCCGAGGGGGCGTTGGGTTCTGTGAGCGGTCTCGGCGCTGCTGCTGCCCCCGTCTGCCGCGGGGCTGTATCGGCTATCGGCGCGCGGGCCGTGCCGAATCGTAGACAGCTGTGTACACAGTCGCAGGCGTCGGCGGGGCCAGACAGAGAGCCGGGGTTTAGGATCCCCAGGGGAGAACCCCTCGTGCACATTCGTGCCTTGGCTTCCCTCACCCCAATAACTGCCCCCAATTTAATGAGAACTCCAAAATAATCCCATTGTTTTGTCTGCCTGTGCAGTCAATCACGTCACCGCTGGGGTTGTCGCAGCGTGCGCCTTGAGAGACGCGGGTTGCTCACCTATTACTAAAATAGCGGGCCGAGTTAATTTGTCAAAATATTCGCCAGATTTCTTTTAAATACACAAACCACGCACGTCTATCCCGTATCGTCACTCGGGCAGCCTCGTGTCACAGTTGACGTTCTCCCGGACCTCACTTCCAATGAGCAGGACACGGCGCCCAGCTGAACATCGCAGTCTGCGTGAGCGTCTACGGCACGTGGCCTGATTTCACGTGAGCAACGCTGGTGAAATGTCATCATGCTTTTATTCCCCTCGCAATGTCTGCATTGAACCGAGACGCGATTAACATCACATCCGCGGAATGGCAAGTCCCTACAGAGGAACAGACAACGGCTCCCCAAGACCTCCACTCTCTCAGCCTCTTGCGGCACAATCCTCGACGCAGTCCCAGCAGCTCTGTCAGCGGCGCGAGCAGCACCACTCTTCTAACAATAACGAATCGGCGCGTCAAGGCCATTGCTGGCGTATGTCCACTGACCCAACCCGAGCTGCCGGCACGCTGAGACGTCACCGTAAACAGGCTTCTTTCCCCTCTTGGATCGTCGTGGGGTTTCTCATCGATTGCTTGCGCGGGTCTCGGGTTACTCCACTGCCGATTGTAGTTAAAGGAAGGCGTGTTCACCAGAGGGGAGAAGCAACTTCCACCGCGAATCGGATGGCGATGTCCGTCTCGTGGCACGCGGCTCCCTGGCCGAGACGCCTGGACCCACGGAGGCAGCTCACCTCTGCAGACCCAGCGGCCTCGCCGCATTCCTCTCTCCCACCCTCCCTCCCCCCCTCTTTCCACTTTACCATCTGTATGCACTCTACCCTAAAATAACAATAACATAAGGCGAACATTTTAAGAAGCCTTTTTGTAGAACCTTAAACACCACTCGGAGACTTCGAGAAAATGCCAGCGGACATCTGTACGAGCAATATCCGAAATATGTTCTGCGTCAGGTGTCTTGTTTGTTGTATTTGACATTTCTATTTGATTTCCTTGATTTATGCGCGTCTGAACGTGCATCGAAACGAATGCACAGGATAGTCGCACACACCGGAGTGCAGCGTGCAGCTGGTTTCATCACCCGGCGCCTTTCCTCACACGCGAGCGAGCGAGCGGTGCAGGAAACCGCCTCCGGATCTAATCGCCCGCCCGCCTTTATCTCTATTTGTCCCTCCACACACAAAATGTTTTAGCAACACTCGCTCGCCCAACGCCGGGCATCCCCGCGAGCGCTCTTGTTTGCGTTGTTGCTGTGACCACCGCCAGGCCGCGTCACCGTCCGGGCCCCGTGGCCGCGTCACCGAGGGGTGTGGCGAGGCCCCGGGCGGAAGTCAGCTGCGTGCTGCCGCTCATGAGCCCAGCGACCCCGACAAGCTCACCAGCCCCACCAGCACCACCAACCCCACCACCAACACCACCCACACCACCTACACCACCAACCCCACCACCAACACCACCAACACCACCTACCCCACCAACACCACCAACCCCACCAACACCACCAACCCCACCACCAACACCACCAGCACCACCAACACCACCAACCCCACCAACCCCCACCAACACCACCAACACCACCAACACCACCTACACCACCAACACCACCTACCCCACCAACACCACCTACCCCCACCAACACACCTACCCCCACCAACACCACCAACCCCACCTACCCCACCAACACCACCTACCCCACCAACCCCACCAACACCACCAACACCACCTACCCCACCAACCCCCACCAACACCCACCAACACCACCTACCCCCACCAACACCACCAACCCCACCAACCCCCACCAACACCACCAACCCCCACCAACACCACTAACCCCACCAACCCCCACCAACACCACTAACCCCACCTACCCCGCCGAGCCCTCGGGCTCCCGCGTGAGCGACAATGATACCTGTTCAACTTGCTGATAGGAGATACCCGGTGCTGACATGACAAGTTCTTCCCTTGGCCAAATTATTGACGGCAGAACTATAGTTATGCAAATCGCATGCTAATGTGCATTCAGCAGTAATAGTATGGATAATACAAAACATGACAGAACACACGGAACATTTAGTACAAACAAGATTACTTAAATATGACACAGAATCGATTCTTAAGTCAAACCTCTAACATTAACAAACTGTAACTTAATAACCATTGCAATCACGTTTTTGCTTATCTGGCCCTTGACATAGGCAACAAGGAGCGGAGGGTTGGATTGTGGGCAGCGTCGCCGCATCTCAACCGCCGCAGGAGGAATCCAATGAGCTAATAAGCTCTTTTTACAGATGTAAGCAAGTTACAACAATGCAAGCCTGCATACTAGAGCCATTGTTATATTACACGATGGATAGTAGTTGGACTTCAAGTAAGCCACGCATTATTATACTTAATTTATTTACGACTAGTTTTTACATATCTATAAAACGTTTAACAAAGTTGTGCATCCATTGAGAGCACAGTAAACGTCATGCCTAGGGATGGAATGCGTTGGAGACGGAGAGATGAAATCGGCTCCTGTGCAGCAGATGCCGGGCGGATTGTTACACCACAGGATTGCTAGAGGTTAGGATGCCTTGGGGAGGCTTTCATCATCCAGCAGTAGATTGATCATGGCTGATGAAGACAATGAAGTGTACGACATTCTGCAGACATGTTGCCAACCCTTTTACTTTACACAAACACAAGTCCCGCACGCGCGGCGGGCATTTACACGTAACCCGTAGGCGCGTCTGTGTAAACTTGTTCATAAGAAAGCGTTTCCATGTTGTGTTGCAGAGGGGAGAAGCACAGAAGCGTTGCGAGATTGCTCGCTGCGGGGGGCCCGGGGCCTCGGGTAGCCGAGAGAGCGGCCATCGAGGCGGCCGGCGACGCTGGTGCCACCGGCACCGCCGCGGAGGCCGCCGACGCTCGGCGCTCCGCGGCGGTCTCGGCCAATCGGAGGCCGCGGAGGGAGACGGCGGCTCCCCTGATGCGCGGCAGCAAAAGCAAAGCGAGAGCCATGCGGAGCCACGCGGAGCCACCACCGCGGTAGCGCCGGGCACAGCGAGCAGTGCCCGAGGAGAGCGACGTTACAAGGTCCGCTTCATAGCCGGTGCATCGTGCGAGCGCCGTCTCCGCTGCTCTGAGTTTTCTGTCTACGTTGACCTGAACGAGCCGAGCGCCGTGTGGCTGCGGTCCGACTGGCAGGCGCCGCTGGGCGGTGGCGGCTGTCTGTACGCGGTGGCGGCTGTCTGTACGTGGTGGCGGCTGTCTGTACGTGGTGGCCGCTGTCTGTACGAGGTGGCGGCTGTCTGTACGTGGTGGCCGCTGTCTGTACGCGGTGGCGGCTGTCTGTACGTGGTGGCTCCCGTGCGACGGTTCATGAGGAACTCGCTGGCAGCGCCCGCACTGCAGCACCGCCGCGGTCGGTACGGCGCTACGCAGACGGCAGCGGTAAGCCGTGAAATATCCCCTGAAGTTATCTTATCTTATATAGATGTATAGAGCCCATTAGTCCACAGCGCTTTACAATAATTATACAATTGTACATTAGATGCTTTAATATTTATGGAGTTGCAGTCATTATATAGTAGTGGATTGCTCATGGCCAATGATGATGAGGAAGTGTCAAGTCTTAAGACCTAGCTTGCTTGTGCTTCACAGCACGGTGGCTTTAAACCCTCACGTCATTAATCCCTGTAGAATAACCGCTTGAGATGATTATTTTATCGTAAGTAATCTCGATAACGAGTCAGCCGAAAGAATGTAGATACAAAGTGTGGGCACCTGACTCCACGACCAATCGCAGCAGAGAGCGAGACACCAGCGTCCCCACGGCGCGCCGACACCGCGACGCGGCAGAGAAACAAGCGTCGCTGGCAGCGCGTCGCACGCCGCACACGGCAGCACAGCGAGCGGGGAGAGGGCGGGGAGAGGGCGGGGAGAGGGCGGCGCGCGTGCAGCAGAGAGGGCACGTGGTGTCACGGCGCGGTAGCATTTACCTTCAAGGCTGACTGCTCCTCTTCTACCCCATCGCCAATTACAACATACACTACTTTCCTACCAAACCTGGCAATTATTCGCTCGAAGGAGCTTTCCTTCCCTGGAAAATAGAGGAGATAAAAAGGGGGAGAGAGAGAGCGGACGCTGAGTGGGCGCCCCCCCCCCCGGGGCTCTCCGGCCCCTCGTGTTACCTGCGTGGCGGCCTGCTCCTCGTCGCGCCCGTCCCCGACCACGACGTACGTGACCTTGCGGCCGAAGCGCGCCAAGATCTGCTCAAAACAGTTCTCCTTGCCTGGAAGAAACGTCGGGCGGCATCCCCGGCGCACGGTTACGGCACGCGCCGGGACTGCTCGCGGGGCCACTGACACGCGAAGACAACGCGGGTGGTGCCCCCCCCCCCCCCCCGGCATCGCATCGAGCCCCTTGCCACTCGGCGGCGGAGCGACCGTCAGGTTACGAGTTCGTGTCCTGTTTGTGGGATTGACACGGTCCATTGTCATTATCCTCTGGGATCGATCAAAATTAGTACCAATTTGGAGGTAAGTCAACAGTGGTGGCTCTATGGATAGTCTCTCTCCCATCATGGGCATGCGAAATTTCCACCACTGGCTCAGGGCTTTAAAGAGGAGTTGAGCACCAATGCCTTAACGATTGAGCAGGAAGTCAGTTTCTGTGGAATGCAGCGTGGGGCAATCACCCAGGATAATGATCCCTGCTGCCAACTCATCAATTCTGTCGTGAATCTATGAAATCCCACAGTACCGTGTCATGTAGATCTATCATAGTGAATCTCTGAATTTACAGAATTCTCTATACTGCAATGAATTAACTTCCCTATTTCACAGCACACAATACACACTGCTGCGATGAGATAGATTAAAACCTGACTTAAAGCTTTCGTGACTGCAGGAATTAATATTCTTGGGTCTTTCGGTAAAGTCACGAAGATAGGTTCAAAGTAAATAACAAAAAATAACAAAAAACTCCGATGTTTCGATCGCAACTTAAGCAGTCGTCTTCAGAGATGGATTAATATAAACTGTGTTCGCAGCGGTGCACAATGACCGCATGATAGCAGAAACACAGAAAGCTGCCGATCGTTTGAGGCAATGACCATTTTCCAATCCAAAAATCAAGCTTTACATCCAGAGATGCACACAAACGCGTGTGCGTCTGTGCACGTGCGCTGTGCCAGCATTCAGAGGCGCTTCCCGCTAACAGCACTCGCCCCAACAGTCTATTAAGGCTATTCGGGGGAACTTTATGTGTATGTGTCTGCCTGCACGTGTATGGATCTACGCTTGCGTGTGTCCGCGTTTGCGTCCAAGCATGCGCCCGCGTCACTGCATCCGTATGCCCCTCCGCGTGCTTGCGCGTGCGTGCGAAGGCTGTGGGGGGGGTGTGGGATGCGCACCGATCTTGGTGGCGCTGTAGATGTTCTCGATGGGGAAGACGCCGCCAAGGCCGTAGAGCAGCACCTTGGCCAACGCCGGCACGAGCTGCGTGGTCGTCACCAGCACGTTCACGCAGTTCCCCCTGGGGGCGCGGGAGACACGGCACGCACGGGAGACGTGATGCAACGCTGCTCGTGCGCTATGTTGCCGTATATTGATACGGTGTACTTTTCAAAGGGCAATGGCAGTAACAGACTGTGGGCTTTAGTCATGGCCAAATTATGCTCTTCTTCCACACCAATTGGGCCGCTTTTCATATAAACCATAAAAAACCACGCGTAGTCTGCTTCACAGTGGATGTTAAAGATCGTGTTACATCATTTGAAGCGAGCAGGCCATTTGTGTGTTGGCGTCACGCTCCAAATTTTCCAAAATCAGAACATTTGCCCACAAATTACTCGATCGGGGTCACACAGCAGCGACACCTTCCCCTACTTCAAATCTAGCGCAGGCTACGTCTGTGAAACATAGCGCCTTCCTACACAGTAGCACGACAGGAATGTCTCGAATAACAAACGTGCTAATCTGCCTCACTTCAGCAGAACCTGTGGAAACACCCACACACGTGCGACACAATGGAGTTTAATAAAACAACAACAACATTGAGATGTAAAATTGTCTCCGAGCGCCACGCGCTCGTCCCTGCTGGCCTGCCCCGCGCCAGCAGTCATCCCCGTTGGCTTCGCGATAGCGACCAAAAGTCTCCATGCCGGCGCTGGAGCTCAAAGTGGATTCCAACAGCTATAGGTGCAGAATAAACAATTCTGGCACCAGAAAGAGTGTCAATCTCGCTCTGACACATTAGAACAAAACAAAACCACGTTTGGTTTGTTTTGGAGCAGAGAGAGCGTGACTGCGTCATTTTTAAATTCGCGAAGTCTCAAAGCGCAAGGATTCAGTATTTGGCGCCTCACTAAATAAAAAAAATATAAGTTGTTGTTGTCGATTCTGTGTAGCTAAATCTAACAACGTACATTATGATTACGAAGTAAAGATGAGAAGCGTTGCCCATCATGGCTCTGTAGTCACAACAGAATTCGTTCCAAACAGAATTGGAAATTGTGCTGCCAGGAATTTGAAACGCGCTTCCACCATCCCGCTAGAAATCCCACGAGAATTCTTTCCGATCCCAAAACGACGACATTGACCGAGCGATATCATAAAGTGGCGAGGAGGCTTGTGGAGCGGACACGTGTTTTGCATTGCGGGGGGAGGGGTGTGGCAAACGCGGGCGGTGGGGTCTCAAGTCAAGTGGCAGACCACGCTGAGACCACGAGCGCCAGCAGCAGCAGCAGCAGCCATCCTCCGGTGCCGCCAACCCCCTCCGGGCAGAATCCCCGAACGAGCCCCCTTCCTCTCTCCGAGCGCCGGCGGGCGGGCGGAGGCGGTGTGTGGGCTCACCGCGAGTATATCAAGGAGAGCGACTTGAGAGCCAGGGTGAGCCACGAGTCCGTGAGGGCCTCGATCTCCGCCCGGAGCTGGAGCCACGCCTCCCTCTTGGCAGGGCCCAGGAGGCCTGAGCGTGGAGCGACGGCGGAGGGAAACGGCGCGGAGGAACACGTCGTTATTCACAACGACGAACACCGGGACAATCGGGGCGACCCCTACACAGGGGAACCTCTACACAGGGAACCTCTACACAGGGGACCTCTACACAGGGGACCTCTACACAGGGACCTCTACACAGGGGACCTCTACACAGGGAACCTCTACACAGGAACCTCTACACAGGGGACCTCTACACAGGAACCTCTACACAGGGGACCTCTACACAGGGACCTCTACACAGGGAACCCTACACAGGAACCTCTACACAGGGGACCTCTACACAGGGAACCTCTACACAGGGACCTCTACACAGGGAACCTCTACACAGGGGACCTCTACACAGGGAACCTCTACACAGGGGACCTCTACACAGGGAACCTCTACACAGGGAACCTCTACACAGGGGACCTCTACACAGGGACCTCTACACAGGGGACCTCTACACAGGGAACCTCTACACAGGAACCTCTACACAGGGGACCTCTACACAGGGGACCTCTACACAGGGACCTCTACACAGGGAACCTCTACACAGGGACCTCTACACAGGGAACCTCTACACAGGGGACCTCTACACAGGGAACCTCTACACAGGGAACCTCTACACAGGGGACCTCTACACAGGGAACCTCTACACAGGGGACCTCGACGAGAGCGCCAGCGAGACGCCTCGCAGACCGTTCAAGGACCACGCTGGGCAAGGATGAAACTGTTGACAATTCGGATGCCTCTGGGTTTAAACGTCAAGGCACACGGTGGAATGTTGCAGAATGGGGGGGATGGGGGTGATGGGGGAGATGGGGAACACCAGGGAATAGAGGGGCTTGGACGAGCGAGGAGGGATAGAAATGCGTGTGTCAAGGAATGAAAAACATGCATCACGTAATTTTTTTGAAGCAAAGCCATTTCCTCCTCAAATGAACATTGTGCCCATTGCCTGCTGAGAGCTCAGAGCCAGTAGTCAGAATTCCACATTCTTATGGCAAGGAAAGTCTATCCATAGTACAACGCACACACAGACGTAGACATACACAGACCACCACACAGTCAGCCATACGCATAGACACGAGACAGCTGTGCGCCAAACACTGCGAGCGGCTCCGCTGTGATTGAGCCGACGAGCGAGCGAGAGAGAAGCGGGGCGGCCTTGAGAGGCCGGAGGGGGAGGTGGGGGGAGAGGGGCGGTGGTGGGAGGGTGGCTGCACTCGCCTCCCACGTTGTTCTTGTAGCTGGTGTACATCTCCTTGACGCGCCGGTAGCGGAAGGCGAGCTTGCGCATCCAGTCCACGCCGCCACGCACGCCCGTGGGCAGGCACAGGTTCGTGCTCGACGCGGCCGCCGCGTGGAACCCGTCCGTGCCAAAGTCGTACGTGCTGCGCCACGGGGGGGGGGGGGGGTAGCGGGGGGGTTACGGACTCGGCGGCGGAGATGGAGCCCCACGCACGTTGTGAAGCGAAACGTCGGACTTCGTGCCCAACGGCGTGCGGCGTTGTGTAAAGCGCTTGGGGACGTTCTCCGCTATTCGTTGCCCGGCACGTCTGGTGGCAGCCCTTGCGCTCGCGTTTTAGTTCCGCGATGCCAACGTCGTGCACGCGATCGTCGGCGCTTACTTGTCGTAATTAACAACAGCACTAAGCTAACGACCGCGTTGGCTTTTACTCGAAGACAACTGCCTCTCACCTCAAGTCTTGTCCGTTATCATCCGAGGAAACGTCATCGATGTGAACTTGATCACATTCCTGTAGGATAAACACGAATAAAGGCTCATTACAAAAACATCTCACGGTTCTCCATCATGGAAATGTTCCATCTCAATTCCTTCCCACCTGTCTCTCATCAATGGATCTGCTCCTTGAGGTAAACTGCAACATGTTTGTGTACATTTTACATTCTCCACAAAAAAATGATTGCCAAGTTTCACATTCATACGTCAATGCCAGAGGCAATAACCACTCGTGATTGATGCTTCAAATAACTCAAAGAGGAATAAAGACAAAGCGTGGCTTACACAAACAATCATTTGAGACGTCACCATCAAGAATAAAGGAGGGTGGGGGATGCCAGGAGATGATGATGATGATGAGGAATTACGACGCTTCGCCAGAATGGAGCGAGCACTGCGTTCACTCTGCCAGTGCAGAGCGAGCGTTCACTCTGCCAGTGCTCACACGGCTCTTGGGGCAGCAGCGAGTGAGGCCGAGCGCCTCGCGTTCCCACGTCGACAAGAGGCTGCGGTGAAACTCCGCTCTCGCTCCAGACATTTGTCACCTTCTCAACGTCTCAATGTGACACGGCCCTGCCTGAACCGGTGCGTGCCGAATGAGCAGCAGTGGGGAAGAACGTGTTCTACTGCGCAGTTCTCTGACAGACAGGAGTTTGACGAGCAATAAATAAATAATACAACTTCAACAATTGAATACCGCAAATATTTTATTCGCAATGGGAACGGGTTTGGCCAATGCCCTGCAGGCGTCTCATGCCCATGCAAGCAGACACCTGCTGTGGACGCCACGAACCCGCGGGCCTGAGAGGTCACGTGGAGGTCTGCCGGCGCGACTCGCGACGCACCGGCGAGGATGCTCATCGCGAGTCGGCGCCCATCGATCCTGTCTGCCGCTCTCTGGAACGACGCTAATTAATTCACCTGGGCACCGTAGCCCGAGTGCACTATCGCATGCGGCTCCTGTCTGGTGTACTTCATCATAGTTCACGTTAACGGTCCACGTCGCGGCAGGTGATTTGGACCGACCGAGGAAGTGATCGCGATTTGCCGCTTGCTTAAATGCCTCGCCGCAACTCAGCGGCACCTCACACCGCATCTCAGCTCGACCATTGCAATTACCCCCTGCATTCTAGGCTGTGGTATTGGCTATGGATACTACAGCTCACGAGCGGGTTGTTTGTTTGGATACGGTACACCACACAACGGCGTTCTCCCTGTAAAGCGCGTCATCGGATCTTTAACATCCGCAAGTGCGTGCGACAGCAGTGCGAGCACGCACTCCGAGGAGTAGCCCGACCCGGCGGTCTGAGCCCAGCACCACTGCCATATCCGGTTACACGATGGCAGAGTCACGACGCGACACCGTGACGTCTGCCACCACCGCCACCACCACGTTCGGCACGTCACTGCGTGCACAACTCCTTGCGGACGGCGCGTGCGCTCGACATCCGTGCGCGGCGTCACCAAGATTCTACACACGATCACTTAACAGCGGGAATTACTGGCGATAGCCGACTGGCTCGAGATGTAAATTGCCACCCTATCGTGTTTCATGGAGGGGTAATTATAGGGACATTATTACAGTCAGCGCCAGATCCACATGTTGACAAAACGGATGAAACGAATCACCTTGCCGATTTACCCATCTTTGGTGGCGGAGACTTTGACTTTGTGTTGAAAAAAGTAATCATCCAAAAATGGACGTTCGCCATCACATAAGGCAGGCCAAAGCCTGTGGTGGCCCTGAGCCACTAATGGATATCCCACACTCCGATGGCAGGGACCAGCCTCTGCATCACGACGATGGCACCGCGGCCCCCACAGCAGCGAGGGCCGCGGTGGCCAGCGGCCGCGTACAGTGCGGCAGCACAGCCGGCGCAGCGCGAGCCACGCCGCTCCCTGGGCCCCGGGGCCCCGCAGCCAGCCCACAGCTGTTTCTCACCAGCAGTTTAAAAGCTTGCCCTTTGCCCTTTCCCGTCATGCCTCCCTGGCTCATGAAGAAATCTCTCACCGCCTGCACCACCCTTGTCGCTACTTCTCTGTTTTCTCCGCCACGCTTTGTTTTTAAAAACTATACTTTGTGAACAAATTCGGGAACCTGTGGTTATCCCTGCATGAAAACGGGGACCTATAGAGCGGCTTAAGTCTGTCCATTTTAGGCGATGTCCCTTCCGTCTGCCAGTGCCAGAAACATCGTCTTATTTAAGGTGAAGTTACAATGGTAGGTTTATTTGATTTGTGCTTGTGTTGTCCATCAGTGCCAAATCAATGCACTATTGCAACTACCAATGCAGACGTTTTACTTCTGTATGTATCTCTTGTGAAGGTGGCGAAATTATAACACAGCAGCAGTAACATGCTGTGTGCACTTGATTTGCGAGGCAACTGATGGTTTCAATGGTGACGGCACAGAGGGTGATGATGGTGGCGATGATGGTGGTGGCACGCAACAATAGAAACAAACATCGCCCAAAGTGCCTCAAGCAGTTGATGGCGGGGGGGGGGGGCCTGCAGCCCCCCGGCCAAACCCTGCCCAGCGGCAGGGCCACCGGGGGACATGCGCACAGCTCAGGCAAGCGTCCGCATGCCAAGATACTTTATTAAAAATATGAAGGAATAAAATAATATCTCACTGCTCTGGGAGTTTTTCTTGGTGCAAAACAATAAAAAGCGCAGCTGGGTTGCTTTTGAAATTTAAATTACAGTTTAAAATGTTGTAATGCTGCAGAGACATTACTGCATTAGTAAAATGACTGCTGTACGCCTCGTGCCATTCAAAAGGATTTTTAAATACGATTACAGAATACATTGGTCATACACTGTGTAACAAATGTTTTTTGTTCCTGGGTAGTAAGTGTTATTTCCTAATTGCTTATGCCTCAAAAGTACAGAAAATGGCTATTATTCCCAACAAACTTTGCTTTTGTGACCAGGAGAGTGATATTTTGAAATTTACCTATTTTCCAGAACATCCCAGATAGATACAGTGCTGAGTAAACTTGGAGTAACTTCTAGAACATTCTAGAACTTCCCAGTAATATAAATAGCAGTATAAATACAAGGGCCTTAAGCCCACCAGTTCACTTTAGTTCCAGCTGCCTAAGTGGATAGATATCTGCATTTTTCTGAGATGGCATCAAGAGGCTGCAAGCATCCAGTGGACGCATTTTGCTATGTCTGCGGCCAATTTATCAAGACAAGAGCGAAAAAGTACTCTGTGGAAGCATCTGCTAAGATGTGTGAGGCCTACAAGGCATATTTCGGCATGCCTGTTGGGGATCAAGACAAACCATGGACACCTCATTTACCTGCGAGCAATGCAAACAAACTCTGTAAGGAAAGATGGACAATTGTTGCTCGGAATTTTATGTTATAAAATTTGTTAAAACTTATAAAATTGTAAAAGTTTTCAATTTTTTTATGTTTTACAATTTTCAATGTACTGTAATTGAAAAAATATATCATATATGAAAAATGTTGCGAGAATCTCTTGCACATTAGTCATGGTTGAAATAAATATATTTTTGTAGGATGGTACAGAGGGGAAAAGAGAGCCATGAAGTTCACTATCCCAAGAATTTGGCGGGAACCCACTGACCACTCAAGCAACTGCTACTTATGCATGGTGGACCCTTCCAAACGTCGGACTGGCAAGAATGCACCTGCTATCACCCCGATGCCACACTGCCATGAGTTCCCCGTACCTACTCCTCTGGAGAGAGAGCAGCCGTCTTTAGAAGAGAGCAGCAAGTCAGAGAGCGAGGAAGACGTTGTAGATCCGATGACAATTTCAGAGGTGGAGCTGAGGAGAAAACCCATACTACCCCAACCAAAAAGACCTCAACGACTTGATCAGAGATCTTGGTCTCACCAAGTCCAATGCCAAGCTTTTGACGACTAGGCTCAAGCAGTGTAACTTGTTGTATGAAAGTGTGCAAGTCACAGATCAGAGGAAGCGTCACCAACCTTTTTGCAGCTTTTTCACCTGTCAAGATGGGCTCTGCTTCTGCCACAATGTGACCAGTCTGTTCGAGGCAATCGGAATCGCCTGTAACCAAAATGAGTGGCGCCTCTTCATTGACAGCTCATCCAGGAGCCTCAAAGCCGTGCTGCTCCATAATGGTAACAAGTACCCATCTATTCCTCTGGCTCACTCGGTGTACCTCAAAGAGGATTACAACAGCATCAAGACCTTGCTGGACGCCTTGAAGTATGATGAGTATGGCTGGGAGGTCATCGGATACTTCAAAATGGTGGCATTCCTGATGGGTCTCCAAGGCGGTTTTACCAAGTTTCCCTGCTATCTTTGCCTTTGGGACAGCAGGGACACCAAGGCGCACTACCACAGGCAGAACTGGCCACAGCGGACCGAGTTTCCTGTGGGGAGGAACAACGTCAAGTGGGAGCCACTGGTGGACCCCCGGAAGGTGCTGATGCCACCACTGCACATCAAATTGGGCCTTATGAAACAATTTGTCAGAGCTGTAGATAAGAAGTCGGCAGCCTTCAAGTACCTTCAAGACTTCTTCCCTAAGCTCTCTGAGGCAAAGGTCAAAGCCGGTGTCTTCATCGGACCACAGATGAAGAAGGTCCTGGAGTGCAATTAATTCCCCAAGAAGCTCACGAGTAAGGAGAAAGCGGCTTGGGACAGCTTTGTCGCAGTGGTTCGGGGCTTCCTGGGCAATCACAAGGTCGACAACTATGTGGAGCTGGTTGAGACTGGTGAAGAACTACGGCACAATGGGCTGTAGGATGTCCCTCAAAGTCCATATCCTTGATGCTCATCTTGATAAATTCAAGGAGAACATGGGAGCATACTCGGAGGAGCAAGGCGAGCGCTTCCACCAGGGTATACTGGACTTTGAACGCCGCTACCAAGGACAGTATAACGAGAACATGATGGGAGACTACATTTGGGGGCTGATTCGTAAAAGTGATTTACAGTATAATCGTACATCTCGAAAAACTACTCACTTCTAAATCTTTTGTAGTCATTTTTGTATTACTTTAGTATAA